CTAGGCGGAGTGTATTCTCTCTCTCGAGAAAGAGAGAAACTGGAGAAACCAATGAAGTATTTGAGCTTTTAGAATGCTGGGAACACAGTGATTTAGTAGTCTTTCTCATAATCAGCATCACCACTTAATCATTATATAGTCTATCAGTTTTAAAAAATGTCCACGTGGGACATAAAAGAGGAAGCTGAACAAAATTATTCTCTCTTAAAGTTAGTATTTTATCCATTCTTTTAGATCGTGCTTTTTTCTCTCCTCAAAACTCTCTCCCAAATAGCAAATAGGTAAGCAACTGGAAAATAAAAAATGACAGATACGTAGCATTGTGGGAAGTTTTTACAAACATTCAGGCATAACTCCATTTGATTTGCACTGGTATTTTTTAATATAGGGAGAGGAGTTTTAGTATTGACAGTTTACAGAAAAGGAAATTGATACCATAATTGACTCACTGCCTTTGCCACTGTTCCCCTATCCATCTAGGAAATGAACTGGTGACTCTGCACTTAGCCCCTGCCCACCCCATCCTCTGCCTTCTGTGTCCCTCAGGTGGCATCCTCTGGCTTCCTGAGCTTCCAGTTCCTCCTGGATGCCTCTAGTGCAAGGCCCTGGCAAAAGACTGAAGATTGGAAGAGGGCGCCACAATTCCACCACCTCTTCTAAGAAGAGTGGTGACTGGACTGTGTGAAGCCCAAAGAAGCCGATAGAGCAGGGAAACTCATGCACACATTCCCGGTAAAACATGGCTCACAGCAAGCAAGTCCAGTCCAGTGTCTTTCCTTGACAGTGTCTGTCACTGACTGGAGGCTTCACATGTAACAGATTCCCGTCTCAGACATGTGAAAATAACTGTACTCTGTAAACTGCCTCACAGCTTAGGTATCAAAATAATTGAAATTAGCATCCTTTTCCGTTTAGCCCATGTTACCTCTCTGCTCCCTATTCTTTTCCCTTTCCTACTTAATTAGAGACAGGGTCTCACTATGTTAGCCAGGCTGGTCTTAAACTCCTGGGCTCAAGTGGTCCCTCCACCTTGGCCTTTCAGAATTCTGGGATTACAGGTGTGAGCCACTGTACCCAGACTCCCTATTCTACTTATTCTAGATTCTTCCTTCTCTATGATTCTGAGCTTCCCAACGAGAGGTTTTTATCTGTTTGCGAGGCTCTACTTTTAAGTCAGTTTCTTTATCATTAAGGCAAAGAATGAGTGTGAAGACATGGAAATTGAATAAGTATATTCCATCCTGGCCGGGTGCGGTGGCTCACGCCTGTAATCCTAGCACTTTGGGAGGCCGAGACGGGTGGATCACGAGGTCAGGAGATCGAGACCATCCTGGCTAACACGGTGAAACCCTGTCTCGACTAAAATACAAAAAAAATTAGCCGGGCATGGTGGCGGGCGCCTGTAGTCCCAGCTACTCAGGAGGCTGAGGCAGGAGAATGGTGTGAACCCGGGAGTCAGAGCTTGCAGTGAGCCGAGATCACACCACTGCTCTCCAGCCTGGGCGACAGAGTGAGATGCCATCTCAAAACAACAACAACAAAAAAAGTATATTCCATCCTACCAGTAGATAGTGAGCACAGATCATGGCAGGAAGTATGATTAGGCCATATTACTGACTTTATAGGAGCATTTCTGTTTTTAAAGAAATGACTTTCTACAATGATTCATCACATATTTTGAGTTATCCCTATTCTCTTTGAGCTTTCTGGAATACATATTAGCCTCATTTTCACACAGACACCTCTACTTCTCTTACCCAAGTGATGAACAGTGAAAGAGAGGAAAATTTTTAATCAGGTACTATTAAAGGATTTAACTCCATGGCAGTATAGGTTTGCATCTTACAGATTCTAACATATACCATGAGAGCAGAGGAGACATCATTTATGCATTGTAATTCAGAACAATCTGAACCTGGAATGCTATGCTGAAGCAGAATTCATTAGCTTGGCTATTAATACAATGAAATCACAGACTCTAAGGGTCAGAATGAACTTTATATGTTACAGTCTAGTGTTTCCTAATTAGGGGAACCCCTTGCGTGTCATATTTCACAGAGAGCGAGTCACTGCTATGCAGTTTTCTGCATACTTATGTGTATTTTTAAAAATTTGTTCTTAACAACCAGATGGTTGTAGCTGTTATTATCTTTTTTGCACTTCTGGCTGACTACTGTTCCCACATTAGTAGTTTAACCAACTCTCCTTAAGTGCCCTGAGTGGCCGCGTATTCTTCTGCAACACAATCTGAAGGCAGAGTTCTCTCTTAGAATGTCCAGTAGCCTCTTACAGTGCTGTTTAGGTCTTGGAATCTTCTGGTTGAACAGAATGATTCTAATGATAATGCTATAATTTTCACTCATTGGCCCCGGTGTTCCTCTCAACACTGTCATGAACCAACTCACATCTTAATTCTCCAGATCAAACACCTCCAGTTTTCTCAGCTGTGTCTTCATAGGTTCACTCCAGCTGATCATTGTGTCTTTTTAAGTTTTCATACCACAAATTGAGGGAACACATCCTGTGAATGGACTTCTCTGAATACAGGTGTACCTCAGAGATATTGTGGGTTCAGTTCCAGACCACTCCAATGAAGTAAGTATCACAAGAAAGCAAGTCACACAATTTTTTGGTTTCCCTATTACATTTAAAAGTTGTGTTTACACTGTACTCAAGTGTGCAATAGCATTGTCTTAAAAAAGTACATATCTTAATTAAAAAGCACTTTGTTGCTAACAAGTACTAACAGTCATCTGCGCCTGTAGAGTCGTAATCTTTTGGCTAGTGGAGGGTCTTGCCTCTGGGTTGGTGGCTGCTGACTGATCAGGGTGGTAGTTGCTAAAGGTTGGAGTGGCTGTGGAAATTTCTTAAGACAACAATGAAGTTTGCCACATCGGTGGACTCTTCTTTCATAGAAGATTTCCCTGTAGCATGTGATGCTGTTTCATAACATTTTACCCACCATAGAACTTCTTTCTAAATTGCAGTCAACCTTCCGATGCTTCTTTATCAACTAAGTTTATATAATCTAAATCCTTCATTGTCATTTCCACAGTGTTGACAGCATCTTCACTGGGAATACATTCCATTTCAAGAATCACTTTTTTTGTTCATCCATAAGAAGCAGTTCCTCATTCATTCAAGTTTTATCATGAGATTGCAGGAATTCAGTCACATCTTCAGGCTTCACTTCTAATTCTTTTTTTTTTTTTTTTTTGCAACAGAGTTTCCCTCTCATTGCCCAGGCTGGAGTGCAATGGCGCAATCTCGGCTCACTGCAGCCTCCGCCTCCCAGTTTCAAGCAATTCTCCTGCCTCAGCCTCCTAAGTAGCTGGGATTACAGGCATGTGCCACCACACCTAGCTAATTTTGTATTTTTAGTAGAGACAGAGTTTCTCCATGTTGGTCAGGCTGGTCTCGAACTCCCGACCTCAGGTGATCCACCCACCTCAACCTCCCAAAGCGCTGGGATTACAGGCATGAGCCACCGCACCTGGCTCCACTTCTAATTCTAATTCTAATTCTCCTGCTGTTTCCACCACATCTGCAATTCCTTCCTCCTTGGAAGCCTTGAATCCCTCAAAGTCATCAATGAGGATTGAATCAACTACTTCCACATTCCTATTCATGTTGATTTTTGACTTATCATGAATCACAAATGTTCATAATGGCATCTAGAATGGTGAATCCTCTCCAGGGGTTTTTAAATTTAATTTGCCCGGATTCACAAGAGGAATCACTAGCTATGGAGCTATAGTCTTATGAAATGTATTTCTTAAATGATAAGACTTAAAAGTCAAAGTGACTCCTTGATCCATGGGCTGAAGAATGCATGTTGTGTTAGCAGGCAGGAAAACAACATCCATCTCCTTGTACATCTCATCAGAGCTCTAGGGTGACCAGGTGCATTGTCAATGAGCAGTAATATTTTTCAAGGCATCTTTTTTTCTGAGCAGTAGGTCTCAACAGTGGGCTTAAAACATTCAGTAAACCATGCTGTAAAATCCAAGCTGTGTTGTTACATTTATACAGCATAAGCAGATTTAGCATTTGATTTAGCATAATTCTTTAAGGGCCCTAGGATTTTCAGAATGGTATATGAGCCTTGGCTTCAGCTGAACGTTACTAGCTCCATTAGTCCCTAACAAGAGTCAGTGTGTCCTTTGAAGCTTTAAAGCTAGGCATTGACTTCTTGTCTCTAGCTCGGAAAGTCCTACATGACATCTTTCAATAGGAGGGTATATCATCTACACTGAAAATCTGTAGGTTAGTATGGCTACCTTCATCAGTGATCTTAGCTTGATCTTCTGGATAACTTGCTACAGCTTCTAAACCAGCACTTGGTGCTACAACTTGCACTTACATGTTATGGAGACAGCTTCTGTCCTTAAACCTCATGAACCAACCTCTGCTAGCTTCCAGCTTTCCTTCTGCAGCTTTCTTACCTCTCTCAGCTTTGAAGAATTGAAGAGTTAAGCCCTTGCTCTGGATTAAGCTTTAGCTTTGGGGGATATT